AATCGTCTGCGTTCTGCTTTTTCGGGGTCTCTCGAGGGTCGTTCGGCTTGGGTCCAATTTTTTGAGGCGAATTTATGGGTTTTTGGAAGCGATTTTTATACCTCGATCTTCTTGATTATAATGTGGTAAATTCATTGTGGAGCCTTTTCCTTTTAAGCATGAAACCTCCAAAAAGTACTATAACATTACAATGATATATTAGAATAATATTACATTACCTATAACCTAATTGTCCCAGATTCAGGATTCTATGAATCGATTCTAAAGAAATTTTATCTAAAAGATTCTAAAAATCTATGCATTTACTGCAAACATGAAAAAATGAAAGTGAGTTCACCCAATCATCGTCTGTAAGCAGGAAATCCAAATACATTAAGTCTGCATTAATTACCATGTACAAGGTGTCCCAAAAGTCAGGACACTGGGTTTTTGTGAGTCTAGTCAATAGCCTGCACTGATATCCCAATTTGATATTCAATCGATTCGTATTGGATGAAAATTATGTTTAAAAAAAAAGGTAAATGCAAAATGTAATGGATAGTAAAATGTTTTGAGTGCATTTGCATAAAAAAAAAACAGAGTCCCCATGCATCCTGATTTTTGCAACACCCTGTGCCCCTTGGAACCTTGACAGAACCCCCCAATCCTGAATTCTCTTCTTTGACAACTGCAGAGAAAAGTTACCCCCAGAAGTGCAAGCAACAGAGCACCTGTCCCCGAGGCATCTGCAGTGCCGGCAAGTCTCTTCCCCGTGGGGGTTGGTCGGAGAGATGGCCAAAACGGTTTTGCACTGAACGAATTTGCTGAATTTTTCACTAAGTCTATTGCAAAGGCTGCATGTTATGGTGTATCAATGTAAACTTTACAGTTTGCAATTACATTATCATACTATAACTGAAACAAATTGTTACAATTATCGTACCCCAAATTGCTACAATTGAACCTATAAAAATAACACGGCAACAGTGCCCAAAGGCCTCTTCTAATGCTTTTCGATCCTGTTCACTTCCTCATTGAAGAAATGGATATGGAAACTTATGCCTTTGTAAATGCAAAATTAAATCAAAGTGCAACCATTCATGCAAGAGATTCTCATGGAGAAGGGAAAGGTTTAAATTTCAAGGTTCCCAGGATCCACTTTCTGAAAGGGGGTTGGATCGTTCCAAAGGAACAGAGATGTGGCGCCACAACACATTGCAATGTCATGTTATGCCATTTAACCGTCACGACGAGAAGGGGAAACGCACCAAATGCCATTTTGCACCAAAGGAATGGGATCTGCATCTGGGAATGAGTAGGCTGTTATCACAGCATGAAAGTGCAAGTAACCCTCATCGGTTCAGAGAAAACATTTAGATACATTTAGATAGCCTTGGATACAAGAGGGCATTCAACTTCTGGCAAGTTCCCTGTTTCCAAAATTTTTTCCTAAATCCTTCTGGGATCAGGCAAACGAGACCGTTCGGGTCCACAGCAGTTGCAGCACGGATGATCTCCGGTGAAATCTGACCGAGAGGGGATCGGGGTTCTCAGAGGCTGCAGTATTGATAAAGGTGCTTCAATGAAAAAGTTGTTAAAGATCTGAGGATATTTAAAAGAGAGTGCAGGCTAAACCATTAAGCAAACAAAGAGGCCACTTAATCTGCACAGGGGATCTTGATCCACAGATATATGGAGAATGTAACATTATTGAGGGACACGAACTTGTTCTCACACCACTATGAGGTAATTCCCAGCCGGTTTAAAGAGCTCCAATTCCTAAAATAAAAACTGAACCCTCATTGAACCAGTGTGATGAGAAAATTGTTCATTTTGTGCAAATCATAGCAGTTAGGCTAGGCATGACATTGGTTCTGCTCTGATTCCTAGTGGCAACTCTCAGACAAGGGCAATTAGATTTCCTGATGAACAAGTAATGAAATTATTAGGCCTAGGCCGATGGACGAACTTTTCGCCCGAGAAAAACTCAGCGGTTCGATGGGAAGACGTAGGCCTAGGCCGCGGAATCACTGCAAAACCACTGCACCCACGTCTCGCAGGACCACAGACGCCGAACAACAACGAATCCCCCTCCACACCGGACCCAGTCGGAGTCGAACGAGACGATGGCCAACGCCCATGGGGGGGGCAGAGGGGCGAGACCCAACAAAAAAAAAGAAGCCGGACCGGCCAAACCCACCAGCCTCGACCGACTCGAGAAACCGAGTCCCGAGCAAAGGCATCCCAGGACACACGCACTCACATTCACGCACTCGCTCTCACGCACTCGCTCGTGCCGTCTTCCTCTCCTTCCCTGGCCAATGAGCAGGGGCGGAGGAGAACGGATTCACGGCACGGCACGGTGCACTGTAGGGCCATGCCCCGATGCATCCGACATCTGGCCTTCACACCCGAAACTACACACTTCACACCGTAACATATAGAGGTCAAATGTGCTCCTTTCGGTCGTCACTGGCATCGAAGAGCGCAAGTTAACCACAAGTTGAGCTAGGATTGAAACGACGCCTGTACCGATGGCCACATTTGGCTGTTTATTATCTCATGTATATCAGCCTGTGCCGATTCCTATATAGAAACTGGGAAGATCTATTATATTAAATGTTAATTCAAAATAAACTCATTAGAAAGCCATGTTCTATTTTTTTTCAGGTCAGTCGCAATTAGTGTTACGAAATCAGCGTATCGACCTGGAATATCGATAGTGCAGCGATGGAGAGGGGGGGGGAGGGGGGGGGGGGGGGGGGACTCCGCGCGGCGGGTAATTGGGCATTCTGCGCCTCCAACTGTCGACATCCATTCATCGATGGATGCATCTGGACAGCCTCGATGTTTCCCGATTGTCGTCGAGAATCTCAGTTGCCAAGCCCTGTTCGCATTTTCTTTCTTCCACATTCTTCTTTGGACATCAGCGCCGGCGGCTTGAAAACCGACCGATAGCCGATGGTGTCGATTAATCGGCACAGACCTTTATGGAACCTACTACATATATTACGGGCTATAACTCTTGCTGTCGTGCGAAAAATGCGCGATTTGCAATCGAGTTCGTTCCATGCAGACTCGCCACGTGTTTTCCTCGGTTCGTTTGAGGCCTTCTGAGGCCTTCTGAGGCCATCGGATCCTGGCATCCTCGAGTTTCGGGTCATCCAACGAAATGGCATGAAATTTGGCAGTCGGCACCGAGAAGCTCTCTCTGGTTCAACTCTTGCCAATTCTGTGCCAATTTCGTGCTGGCACTCTTGGCGTCCAAGGTCGCGAAAATCGCTAGGCAAGAGAAAAACGAGGAAGTTCAAGGACATCGATGAAGGGCAAGGACATTACATGGCAACTTTTCAAATTTCTCGAGCCATCATTTTCAAATTTGAATCAAATTCGGCAAAATGGACAAATTGGATGTTTGCTTGCTGCAAGAGTAAGCATTTCATGGAATGAAGCAAAAAAAAGGAAGACGATCAGGAAGACGTTTTCATCTCGGATGGAGCAAAATTTGATGAATTTGAATGAAATTGGGGAAATTCAGATTTTTCTTTTGCGATGAGGCAAAATCGCCAACTGTGACCAATTTGGATGACTGTTACTATGGGAGACGGTGCAATGTGGGACACTTTGCATCAAGAAGCACAAAACCTCGAGAAAATCCGTCTGAGCAGTTTCCAAGTTACCAGTTTACTTGGTAAAAAATCACAGAAATACAATAATTCTGGGAAAAAAAACAGGAAAATGAATTATTTTTGAATCTCAATAGCCAATCGACCCAACAGTGTCGGGAAAGACCGATTCCGTGAATCGTTCACAGCATTTTATTGGCCAAGTGAGCTTCTTCACCATCACAAAACATGAATAAAACACAGCAGGAAGCGGGCCGCGAACGAAACCACGCGGCAAACTCACGCACACGCACGACGGGGGCAGACGCAACTCCGCCTCAATAAATATCCCAGATCTAAAACGACCGCGATCCCAAAAGGCTGCACTGAAAATCGTTGCCATCTGCTGTGTGCGCGTCTGTATGCGTGTGGGTACATCGAGGACTAGATGAAAAAAATGAAAGTATGAAAAAGTTCACATCGGTCACACGTCCACGCGTCTCTTCAAGTGGGCACGGAGCACTTCTTCTGGCGCTGCAGCTGGGTGAGGGGGTGACTTCGTCCCTGCATTCTCTTTGGCTTGTGGCAGATCAAGGCAGATAGGGTGGATGCCTGCAGGTGCCGAGAACTCGGCGGGGGCTTCCCCGCCGGGCGACACTCCCGCGCCGTCCCCGGCTGCTTCCGTCCGACCTGCTGCTGCTGCTGCTGATTGTGCGTGTAGATGAACCTCTGGGTCTTCGAGTCCAGACTGGACTTCCGTTGCGGCACGGGGGGAACGGCCGCCCCCTGCGGTCCGGGATCCGAGACCGAATGCCCTCTGGCACGCAGGCGGGAGTCGTCTCTCTCGAACAGGCCGATCACAGACTTGATGATGCCGGGCTTCTTCGGAACGTCTCCGGAGTCGGTCTTCCCTTCTAACTCCTGCTTGAGGCGTTTCACTTTCCCGACGCTCGGTTGGGTCGGCTTCTCATTTTCCTTCTTGAGGGACATCACGGAACAAGAGGGTGGGAGAGAGGTAACCGATCCATCCACCACCCAAGATCTCATCCCAGTATCGTCTGGTTCCCGCCAGAAGGAGATGCTCGGATTGGACGCAGCCGTCTTGATGGTGAGGCCTGGTTCAGAATGGTAGGGGTATAGAGCAGGGGTGCTGGCATAATGCATCACATTGCTGTTGTTGCTGTCGCAATCACAGATCGTGTCGGGCCATGAGGAAGGGACAGGAGGGTCGCTCCTGCGTTGTGGCACGAGGGAAACCACGGAATCGCATTCCGACGAGAGAGATTCTCCATCGTACGCGCGGCCGATGCCCGAATCGTCCGATTTGTGCTTGGGGTTTGGACGATGGTCCGCATCAATATCATAAGATGCGAAGGAACCCGTGCGAGAGGGGGGGAAAGGTCGAGTGTCCCAGGAGCCCCACGAGTTCTGCCGTAGCACCACGGCACTGTCCACGGAACCAAAAGAACTCTGTCTCGAGATGGGGATGATAGTCTGATCTTCTTTTCTGTCCAGCAGGGCAACCAGATCGGTTGAGTCTTTCCTCGGGGGAGGTGGATTTTGTGTCAGAACCACATCGGCACGGTACGTCGTGACGACGACCTCTTTGGATGTCTTGCGCAATGTTTGGATCTGCTTGACCTTCTCCTCAAAGTCTTGAGTCTGTCGCCTAACAGTTCCCGGGGTCCACGGGATGGCTTCCTTCGTGTAGTGCAAAACGGCTCCGTCTTCATCCGTCGAAGACTCCGTCGCCCGTTCCCCGATGTTGATGACCGCGAGAGAAGCCGGTCTACGCCTCTGCACCGGGATATCCAGCTGGATGGAGGATGCAATGTCCAGAGCATTCAAGGATCCATGGAGCTCTTCAACGGGGGAGTTCTGCCTGGACCCGCTCTCAAACTGGGTGGCAAGATTCAAGACCAGTCCGGTGCGATCGGGGACGTCTCGCGTGGCCTGCACTTCCCGAGAAGACGTGGACGTCGTCTTGGAGAACTGCGACTCCAGTTCCGAGATGCGATCCTTGACCGACGAAGATCTCATGATCTGTGATTGCTGGGGACCATCACCCAGGAACACCGGGTTGATGCATTCGACAGGTGTAAGCGGGATGTGGAGATTAAGAGCCTTGTTCTGCGAGACACTGTAGGATTGGCCATTGCTGCAAGGGAGAAGGATGTTCACTTTTGAGGAATCCAGGTGGAACTCCATGCTACCTCCCGTGTACGAGCGAGGCCTCTGGCGTCCAACCTCCTGCTTTTCTCCACCTGTGCATTCCATAGAAAATCCAGGATTACATACTGAGTAGCAGGGAGGTTACAAAGAGTAGCAAATCATAAAATGACTCCAGTTCTACCACCAAAATTTTGATAATCCTGCCAAAGAGCACACACTGATAAAATTAGGAAAACAGTGAATTTGGAACAATGAGCTTGTATTGAAGAGAATTCAACCACCATAGATGTCTAAAACCACCATAGATGCCCTGTATGCTGAGACTGATGACAGTTGAAGAAGCCCACATAGAAAGGCAATGGTGAATGATGTACCACACCAACCAATCAGAATGGTTTCACATGCAAGCACGTGATTGCATTGAAAATGGCATGTATGAGGCCCATTGATAAAAATTTCTAGTGTAATTATAGTTAAAATAAAAATTTTAATTTAAAAATTTCCTCACATGAGAAAGCATGAAGTACATACATACTAAAGCACATACTACTAGGGTGGAGGTCAACAGCCATCAACCATCCTGAAGTTCTAACTTTCATGGTTCCACTCCACAAGTATAAACTAAAAAGATGCAGTTCAACTGTTGGCAAGAGATCTCACCAGAAACTTGAGCTTGAATGGCACGCGATTGAGCATCGTCAGGAGACCACGACTTTGGCCTGGTGTAGGTACGACTCAACGTCGTGGTTGTCGTCGTTGTACAGAGGAAGTGCATGGATTGAGAAGAGTCCCACACGTCCATGCCCTTGTTCTCTTTGTCCTCGCCGATTTGCCATCCTCCACCATTGCGCCTCTTTTTGGCCCTTCGCTGCCTCCAGGATTCCCGATAAGAAGCCTCCGATCTTTGCTCCTCCGTTCGTTCTCGCTCCAGATTGGCACTCTCCACTTCGGTCTTGATGGACGTCTCTGACTTGCTCCTGAAGAGAATGCTGTTTCGATGCTTGCTTGCATCCAGGATCCCCTACAACACAAATTCCAGAATCAATGAGAAAACCCACCTTTTTTACAATGTAGACCTATGGAATAAGCACTGTAAATGTTATGTTCACACACCTCATACATTTCCAGTTGCTTCATGAACTCATCATTTGGATGCACACAAGATCTTTTCCTTTTCACATGGTCTAAGGCTTGCTGCAGAGACCATTCATAGGCCTTCATGACATAGGCGATCACGACAGAGGCCGACCGGCTCACTCCCATCTTGCAGTGGACCAGCACCCGTTCCCCCGATTCCCTATCGATGGATGATGTGCAAACGTCAACAAAGACTCTTCCAAATCACAACAATAGAGGCACGATCTTCCACAGCGTTCCTACCTCGCCTTGGAGATGTACTTATAGGTCTTATCCCAGTGCTTGAGTAGGTCCGTGGCCTCGTTGTCGTAAACCCGGATGTTGATGTAGGTGAACATGCCGGGGAAGAAGTTGTCGATCTCTCGGGTCACGTTCATGATGCGCTTGATCCCGTTGGAGTGAAGTTCCTCCAGGTTGGACGCATTCCACTCGGAGCCCAGGTAGAGATAGTCGAAGATCCGCGTGGCAGCATCCATCTGCCCCAAGATGGTGATCATCTCCTGGTCGATGAAGGACTTGAACTCCTCCAGATCCATGTTCAGCGTCTCCTCCAGCCGACCCCGGATGTACTTGCTCGTCACCTGCATCAGATGAGAAATTTTTCATCCGTGCATCTGAACGGGCGACGGGTTGAGCCGACAAGAGAAAACACAAACCTCGTCCAGATCCACCGACATCATGATTTCCTTGAGTCGAGCTTTTATCACTTTTTCAGTTCCTTCTCGTTCTCCAGGCCTGTATCATGAGGAAAGAAATTGAAATCAGTGACAAGTTCTAATGATGAATAACTAATACCTAGCACATGACCAAATCCACAACAAAGGTGGACCTCATTCCTCCTTGTGCACCTCATTCAATTGTCTGAATGTCCATCTAAGTGCATAAAAACTTTTATTCAAAGTTTTCAAAGAGCTTCAAGCATCAAGAAGTCACACTGCCCATCGATTGAAGTGGATAATTTATATATTCTCATTTGAAAATAACTCAATGCTTTTTTGTTGTGAAATGAATGACATGAAATTCCTTTCAATGCATTATTTACAATTCTACAGAATGGCAAATTAAGAACATTTCTTACCTTTTAACACATTTTAATAACAGGGAGAAGCATAATTCTTCAAAAACCAAAAATACATAATATCCACTTCAATCGATGCACAGTGTATCAAGAAGACTAAGAAATGCTGTAGTGAACCTGACACCAGTTCAGTTCGGGAAAAATTACATCTAAAACCAAATTGCAGATGAAATTTTAAAAACTAACCCCAGCAGAAAAAAAAACACAGCAAAGAGTGCATGCTCATCTTTCCCAATTATTCTTATCCACCACACCTCCTAATCCCCTCCTCCCCTTTCACTTCTCATGTCTCCATCAATCGAAGGGCTGGCAGCGAAAATAATCCATCTTCAAAAAAAAAAAAAAATTCCCCAGAAGATGATAGTTGGTGTAACCCATTTGCACCTAAGTTCAGATTATTGGGTTTAAATTTGACATTCACGCCCGATATTACCCCCTCATGTTTATTTTTATTTTTATTACATAACACTGCTATTTTCGTTTCAACTTATTCAGTTATATATAAATTTATTTCAGTCGTATATTCTTCTATAATAACCACTCCAAAACTTTCTGAAAATGGATCGAGAACTTTTTCGTTGTTATATTTTTCAAGATTTACGAATTATCGAGAAATTCGATCATCAAACTCATGTCTTAAGCGTAATTTTTTTCAACGCCTCCCAGAGGCAATAAAAATTCACTCTTGCTGTCGCATCGCATGGAAAAGAGAGCAAATTAACAAATAAAACGACACCAGAATGGAGCTTCTACCCCCAGCCAGAGGAAAGTCATAGCTGAAACACCTGCCAGTTCCCGTCCGGGTTATCGCTCGCAACAGGCAACAAAAAAAAAACTACATCCAGAGAACGGTAAAAAAAAATACATAAAATAAATAAATAAATAAAAATGGTTTTTAAAAAATCGCTTCTGCTACATTTTCTCCCCATTCTCATCCGAATCGGCCCTCGATCGCGGTCCCGCCGACAAGCCGGCGGGAGTGTTTCACATACCGTTCTGTCAAACAGTAGGCCATCCCCAATAAACTGCCCCCGAGATCCTCAACTTGTGGGAAATTTTCCGAGATTTTACTCAGGCCCACGAGATACAGTCTTGGGAAAAGGGCGCTGCCATGCTCACATCACTTAGCGTTTGCTACAAAATGAGTCCCGACCGTCCCAATTTTGGGACGCTGGTAAATGACAGGTTAATTGCACACTGTCCATTATTCCTTTCACAAAAGATAGTCGTAGTTTTTTTTTGGGATTCACGCTAGTGCAAAACCGTTCCATACAAACTTCATCAACTTCTCTCGTGATAGACACTTGAAAGTTTACTTCTTCTCTCAATAATAATTCTTTTCCTTCTGCAGATTGATTATTTCTCCTTGCAGCCCCTCAAAAAAAAAAAAAAAACCCTTCGCCCGCGCCACCCATGACTGCACCGAGAGCCCCCCAGCTCCGCTTTACAAATACAACCCAAGAGCGACAAGATAACAAGCACTTCCCCACTATCTGCATTACTTCCATTTCACGCCACGCGGGAAAACCTCCTGCCAACGCAAAACGCAACAGCAACGCGACCACCAGCTCCTCAAACCATTACCGCGATAATAAAAAAAAAACAATAAAAAAAAAACAATAATCAAGGAAATGGGCATGAGACAGCAGCAGGCCTCACTTGCAACGGAGCGAGTCCGGCGAAGGCGGTCTCCTCGACTCCAAGTCGGCCATGGCATTCCACTCGTTGATGCAGCTCTGGTCCGACCCGATGGACTCCGCGTAGTGACTCACCCAGGCATGGGTCGGCCCCCCGACGAAGTGGTTCTTCTCCTGCGCCTGGCGGCACGCCTTGTGCAGGGTCTGCAGCGCCGACCTTCGACACGCACACACAACACAACCGCAACCATCGTCGGCCGTCCATGCGAATGTCGCACCTCTGACCTCCCTCTCTCTCTCTCTCTCGATCTCTGTGCGTGGCACAACCTGCCGTGTCATTCGGCTCCGCACCCTTTTCTTTTAGTTTCCTCTCGGCCACGCAAGACTCCCGAGAACGCAGCACGAAAGAAAATACTTTCGCTTGAAATCTTCGTCGGAATAAATTTGAAAAAAAAATACCAGCAAATCACGGACGAACCCCAGAATCATTTAACAAGGGGAGCAGTCACACAAACGACAGGTGGGAGACGGACATCATCCCAATCATCATCATCGACCGGTGCACCACGTCGCAACAACCAGGAATTAAACGAAAGGGAAAACAATCCCATCGAGTAATTCCTGCGAGCGAAAATGAAAGTCGACGAGTGTCATCGTCTCAAATGACGGGTGTCGAAGAAGGCAAAAATGATATACGGAAAAAAAAAACCTCCCGGCCTCCCCCGGAGGGCGAATTTAAGCAACAGCGAATGTTCATCAATGAGCCTGCCGAATAGCAACGAGACGGCAGCCCCTATAATGTCCATATCCTTTCACCCAATCCCAGTCTCCCATCTGTTATGAAGTCTCGGTCCACCTCATCGCCGATACTTTCCCCCCCCCCCCCCCCCCCCCCCCCCCCCCCCCCCACCTAAAATGGGGTTAGCTCTTCTTCTTTCCACCGTGACACTATGAAACGCATCATGACGACTCCGTTCTCCTTTTTAAGTAGGCAGGTTTCCATTACCGTCTCCGATGGCCCATTCGGTCATCATCGTGGCAGCCCTCCCCCGGGGCCCATCGTGGCAGCCCTCCCCTCGGGGGCCCATCGTGGCAGCCCTCCACAGAAGCGCGCCAAACCGAACGCCCCCGTGCGATACGAAACCCGATCGATCACAGAACGGGCAAGGGCATGGGCAAGGGCAAGGCCATCCCCCGCGATGATCGCCAGAGCAGGTCGGCGATGGGCCATCGGTCCCAAAAGGGCTCAATAAAACTCATCATCTCTGGAGCATATGCAGCCATCCGGCTCAGATGGATTTCGCGGTCTTGCCTGGCGATTCGTTATTCTTCCGTCGTGTTTCGTTTTTCTACGTCCAGATATTACTAGCTTATTTCCTTTAGTTTTTTCCCTCCAAATTATGACGCAATAATTATTCGCTATAATAACTCGAAGCCCTGCAGTCAGCCTTAATGCCACCCGAGTCCGTTTCGAGCCGAAGCCTGCATGTTTTCCTCGAGTGCGACAAGCACCATCGAACAAGGACCCACTCGACTTTATAATGGACTTCGCGAGAGGAACTCGCTTAACGGAGCCGACGCGATTCTCGGAGGAGAGCATTGTGAAATCGAACAATCTGCACGTCGCCCGATATCCCCGATTCCACGCGGCCGAGTTTCGCAAGATTCCTCTTTCTCTCTCTCGCACCGAGGACAACGCAATCCCCGAACGCCAAACGAGAAAACAAAGCCAAAAATAAATAAATAAACCAATCGCTTGAAACTTGAAACGGTCGGCTCCATTCCTCGACCGTTGTTCCCAGTCTCCGGCCACCGAATATCGCGAGCGCGATCAGCGCCCCTCCCCCCCGGGCCATTCATGACTCTACAATTACGCCCGATAGCATCCACCTACAACGCCGCCGCACATTAACAAATGGTCCGGGAGCGATAAGATAAGGAAGCACAGACCCGTCTCCGTCGAGCGTGATAGAGGTGTCCGCGAGGATGGGAAGGACGAGCCCGCAGGAGGTCGAGTCGTTGCAGTCCACCCCGAGTAGCGAGGCCTCCTCGTGCCCCGGCGACGCCGGTCCCGCGCACACCACCACCAGGTACCTCGTCCTCCCCTCGTGGGCGCTCTCGAGCTTGACGGCCATCTTGAGCGTGTCCGCGGGGCGGAGGAGACGGAACATCGCCTGGAGGTGCGCCTGGATGTCCCCGCTCTGGTGTGCATGACCCCGACCCCCGTGCCCCTGACCCTGCACCGCCTTGGCACACATCCGCGCGCAGTGACCCGATCGCGGCACCACCACCCCCGATCCCCGCACCGCGTAATAGCACTCACTCCAGCTGGAAAAAAAATTCACGCACACACGCCGTGACTCGCATCCCCGCACGACGAAGGGCACGGCAAACGGGGTAGGGCTGGACGCGCGCAGCGGGGGCTTCACGCCAACAAGGAACGAAACCCATGCATACCCAAACGCGCATGCAACCACGATGCAGAAAAAAAAAAACCCCGTCCCATTCATTATCTTCGCGCAGACAGGAAATCCTCTCCCAGCGACTAAAGTCCCATCTCGCAAACATGCAATCCTTCCCTGTCCTTTCGCGTCAACCAAGGACACCCCCCCCTCCCCCCTCCTGTCGATAAACGGCAGGGTCTCGCCAACCTTGTTACTTCAGATTAGATGGGAATCGAACAGGATATCCTTCCACATCAACACCGCCTAACAAATCGAATATGAAATCAATTTCGCAACTCCAAGTAAATCACGAGACGCCAGAAATGAACTTTTTTTTTTCCTTTTGACTGAAAAAATTTCGCTTCCGGCGGAAGCAAGCGATGGTTC